GAAAATACATGCATGCAGAAACCCTCGCCTTGCTGACAAAACCGTTGTATTTTCCGAACATGAAGTATCTAAAGTAGTTGTCATGGTAACACGATAATTTTTTAAGAATATTCTTACAAATAAAAATCGCCTAAAAATATCACTTTTAATTACAAAATTATCAATTTCCCAACATATATATATGTTAGGTATGTAATTATACGTAATACAAGCTTCAATTTAAGGTAAAATTCAACCACAAACAATTCACAAAACGTTTTAAAGTGTTCTTTATAAAACTAAACTGCCTTTAACTATTAAATGGCTTTATCAATAAACTTTGAGTTTGCAATAAAATGATTTCAAATTCTCGCTTGCAAATAACTTTGCTTTCTTTTTCATTTAAAAAATTCAATATAATACAAAAGGGAATCAATATTAAAGATACACTGAAATTATATTCTGTCTTGTTTAGTTGTTTCATATACAGTACGCAAAGGCCGTCGGGTTTTAAAGCCATTATAAAATCAATATTTAAAACAAACTTACCTTCGTTAACGTCGGCTCCCTTCTTTTAGTCGATTCTTTCGCAGTTTCTTTCTCCGAGAGCTTTTGAAATTTACAAAATATTGCAAAAATGCGAGTAAAAATGAAATATATTCGCAAGAAATTTATCAATCATGAATCATCAAATCTAGAAATGTTTGCTATTTCGCTGTTGTCATGCAGTCGTTATAATGCAAACTTTAAATTGGACCAATCAGTGTCCGCTATTCATGACAGTCCGCCATATTTTTGAGATCAGTGAGGATGACCACACACCCAACACTCCAACACCGTTGGTGACCCACGCCCGCGATGATTGATGAACTTTAGACTTCGCTAATGCTTTCGTTTCCCCGGGTGTAAATAGCCAGGAGAATTAGTACCCTCGCACGGCGCTTCGCGCCGCCGGCTCGGGGATAATTTTACTACATCCTCCACAAGCTTTTAATTCAAAATTTCTTTGTATGAAGATTAAAAAGGTGGTTTTTTCGAGGTTTTGAGAAAATTTTGTTAAATTTGCTGGGGTCACCATTGTGTGGATTTGTCAATTTTCTTTAGTTTTGAAGAGAGCGCTGAGTGGTTGTTGGTCCTGACGCTTCTTTCAGGAGAAAACAGCATCAGTGGGAAACGATTGCATAAATAAAAGATATACATGCATGGAGGCGACGGGAAAATAAAAATATATTCGGCATTGCTATGCTTTTTGGCATAAAAATGCGGTTTCGTGAGAACAATGGCTTCAAAACTAATTAATTAGTGAGGATATAGCAATCCATCATTTGCCAGAAAAAAGGTAGTCGCACCACTTTCCGTTAAAAATTTCGAATTTGTTTGTAAAATACACAAATTTTGGTCAGAGTATGAGATGAAATAGCAGTAGAATTTCTGGTTTATAAGATTTGCTTACGATACTAACATAGATCGTTGCAGAATAAAAATACGCGAACGTGCCTATTCTTTTTGTACAGTACAATCATTATAGGGTCAGAAGATCTTCAAAAAATAGATCTGAGAAGGAAATTGACCCCACACCATCCTTGCCGAGTTTGGGGTGCATATAAGCCACGTTTCTGACAGAACGGCGACAACCGTTTAGTTCTTTCATTCTTGATTTGTAAATTCTTTAGTTCTTTCATTCTAAACATAGCTACTTAAATTTTGTTTTCAATACCCTTTAAAAACAGGGCCTCAGTTTTTATTTTTTAATCATGACATGCATTTTACTGCCGGCTAATGCAAAACAAATATTATGAACATATGCTCTTGATAATGAATTAATTACATAATTCAATAATTTGATTGTGCAACTATTTGCCATAATATTATAGCAATTCGTGAATTCGATTCAGTGCACATCACTGAAACAATTGATTGTACTCGAGGCTGACAATAAACACTTAATATGTGTTCGTGAGGAAAATATTTAGTTTTGTTTTCCTGAGAGTCTCGATGTTTCCCCAGACGAAGATGAGAGTACCATTACTAGAACCTCTCCTGGCTTAATACGCACTTGAATGGTTAATCAGGTAGAAAACGCATATTTTAAAGGTAGCGGTAGTCAAAATCTGATCACAGCCCCAGCTACTAAATTTGGTTCGCTTAGTGGTCCCTAGACCCCCTGCCTAGACTCCATTCAAAAATTGGTTACCTCCACGAAAATAACATCTATAGCCATTGTGGCACGAATGGGAGGGGGGGGGGGGTTAACTTATCCCCATCATACAATCTGACACTTTTAAATTTTCCCACAGTATTTTCTAATAATATTTTCCGGGAGAAAGGGGGGGGGCAGCTTAGCCCCTTCACCTAATCCGGCCATTCAGTTCTACTTCAGGGAAACTATACGTTACCCGAATTTCTTTGGTTTTGCTATCTTTTGACGAATTTAACTAAATTGGCGAAGGATTTGAAATGATAAATAAAACATTTCTAGTAAAAGCTAAAACATTTTACGTCTTGATCGACACGCCATGGACGTCAGGAAAAAAGGTGTAATATGAGCGAAAACTTGGATATTGTGGAGTAAGCTATTTCGGTTCACACGATGCGTACATTTTTGTGCTTACACAACCTTTAGACGAGTCTGTCCTGGCAGAGTTGGATTATGATATGAATGTCCTTGGGGCGGAAAACAAACTGATTTGGGTATTAAGGAACAAGATGAAATGGAGACTTCTCAATCCGTGTAAATACTTGAAGACATACCACAACCACTGTGTTGGTATACATGGTAGTGTAAGACCACGAATAGATGAGGAAATCGATGGGAAAGATGGTGGGGTGGAACCTAGTGGGCTAACTTCTAAAGGAAATCACTTAAATAAAAGCTCGATCCAGTACTGCAAAAGACACGCATGCGGGTATTTTTGCCCTATTTTTGCAAACATTTCCTCGAGAATTTCCTCAAGTTCTTGACAACATCAATATACAGAAAAACAGTAATTGCATGTAATTTGTTGACCAGAAATGCTCAGTCACTTACCTTGGACTGACAACTCAGTTTATTTTAACTATATGGCCGGTAATCTTAAGAAATATCAGAGAGGTTAAAATACCTTGACTATACCTTGACTATATATATATATATATATATATATATATATATATATATATATATATATATATATATATATATATATATATATATATATATATATATAGTCAAATAGATCATTAGAAGCTTGCATGAGAGTACGCCAACTTAAAGACATTTAGCATCAAAATGGGATGTTTGAAGCTCAAAAATCCAGCGTGTTCTATGATAATAAACTATATATTAAACCTTACAATGAACATACTAGTGTAATCTAAAGAACAAAATCTATGATGATGAAGTTATTAAACTAAACTAAACTAAAAATGATGAACAGAATCCATCG